TGGTTGAGTGGCCTTAGTATATCATTAGCATATTATGCTTTGATTGGTTGAATGGCCAACTCGACAATTGGACACTTAGCATATTAGGCTCTTATTTATTTTTTCCGTGTAAATGTGATCAGTTCTTTTTTTTATTGTCTAAAGTTTTACACATATCTCCTTTTTCCCTGATTGACACCCCCCCCCCCACAGCCATTCCCGCCCCCAGGCAAGCCCCCACTGCCCCAGTGTCTGTGTTCATTGGATATGCTAATATATATGCATACAAGTCCTTTGGTTGCTCTCCAACCCTCCCTACCTCCCCTGCCATTTGTCTCTGGATCTATTTTTGTTCATCAAATTATGTTGGTCATTATATCCCACATATGAATGAGATCATGTGATATTTATCTTTCTCCAACTGGCTAATTTCGCTTAGCATAATGCTCTCAAGTTCCATCCATGCTGTTGCAAATAGTAAAAGTTCCTTCTTTTTTGTAGCAGTGTAGTATTCCATTGTGCAGATGTATAGGATTGCTGGATTGTATGACCATTCTATGTTTAATCATTAGAGGAACTGCCAGAATTCTAAAGTGGCTGCCATTTTCATTTCCACCAGCAGTATAGATGAGAAAATCTGATGAGATATATGGTAGATGTTTGTAGGCTATGCTCTTTTTTTTTTTTTTAATATATTTTATTGATTTTTTACAGAGAGGAAGGGAGAGAGATAGAGAGTTAGAAACATCGATCAGCTGCCTCCTGCACATCTCCTACTGGGGATGTGCCCGCAACCCAGGTACATGCCCTTGACCGGAATCGAACCTGGGACCTTTCAGTCCGCAGGCCGACGCTCTATCCACTGAGCCAAACCGGTTTCGTTGTAGGCTGTGCTCTTAATGTATGTTTCCATCCATCATTTTTTCTCTCTGTGTCTTTCATTCTGTGTGTACTTTCATCATCTATCTTTCATTTGACTAATTCTTTTCAGCTGTGTCTAGGTCTGCTGTTTATCCAACCTATTGAGTTTTTAAAAATTTCATTGACTATGTGTTTTATTTTTAGAAATTCTGTTTTCAAATTTTTCTTTATAATAGTAACTTGATTTTTCTTAAGGTTTGGTGATTTGTATTTACAATGCCTTTCCATGCTTCTTCCACTTTCTGCCCTGTTAGTTTTATACCTTATGAAACTAATCACGTTTATGTTCTATTTTGGATGATATTTATATAAATTCAACTTCTTCTGTTTTTTTTTTAAAACATTTTTATTGATTTTCAGAGAAGGGAGAGACAGAAACATCAATGATGAGAAAGAATCATTGATCAGCTGCCTTTTTCATGCCCCCCACTGGGGATGGAGCCAGCAACCTTGGAATTGAACTGTGACCTGATTCATAGGTTGATGCTCAACCACTGAGCCACGCAGGCCAGACTCAACTCCCTGGTTTTTTGATCCTGCTGTTTGTTGTGTTCTCACTAATGGTGGACTGTTTCCTTGTGGGTTTAACATTTTAATTGTGAGCTTATATTGAGCCAGTTTTGTGGTCTGGATTGTGGGGTAGTTCCTCCTGTTCCTGAGTTCTCTTCAGCCAGAAACCTCAAGTGCTAGCATTGGCCCAATTCCAGTTCTTATGTCAATTTATCAGCCCTGTGGGATGTAAATTTGAATCCCAAACTCCATGAGGCAATAGCTGTGGTTTTAGATTTTCAAGAAAGATACTGCCCCATCTACTACCATCACCCAGAGCCCAGCTATGGAGTTATGCCACTCAGATCTCTATTCAAGAACCCATCATTCAGCTGCAAGGAGTGATTCAGCTGACTGTTCCAGTTATTATTTCCTTCAGGAAATGCTTTGGCTTTTTAAAAAAATATTTTCATTGATTATTTATTTATTTATTTTAAAAATATATTTTATTGATTTTTTACAGAGAGGAAGGGAGAGGGATAGAGGGTTAGAAACATTGATGAGAAAGAAACATCGATCAGCTGCCTCCTTCACACTCCCTACTGGGGATGTGCTCGCAACCAAGGTACATGCCCTTGACCAGTATCGAACCTGGGACCCTTGAGTCTGCAGGCCGATGCTCTATCCACTGAGCCAAACCGGTTAGGGATTTCATTGATTTTTTAGAGAGAAGGTGAGAGAGAGAAACATCATCGATGTGAGAAACATTGATTGGCTGCTGAGCCATCCCAACCAGAGAAATGCCTTGGCTTTTAAGGTAAGGCCACAGTTTTCTTGGGCAGCCCCAGCCCTCAGTGGGTATGTTCATAGGGCCTGGTCATTTCTGTCCAGCACAAGACTCCTCTACCAGGCAATATTTGCTCTAGAACCCTGTGTTCGGTTGGTTAAAACTTTGTCAGAGCTGCTCATGTTCTGTTCCTGCTGCCTGAACCTGCTTCCTCTCCTTTCCTTTCACAGATGTTGGATCTATATCCTGTTCTGAGACTTTTCATGCAAAACCCCGCTTCTCCCTTTTACCTTTCATAGTCATTTTCCTAAATAATAAAACCCTAATATGCAAATCAACCGAATGGTGGAATGACCGATCACTATGATGCACACTGACCACCAGGGGGCAGATGCTCAATGCAGGAGCTGCCCTCCTGTCAGGTCCAATAAGTGGGCGGTGCCAGGCCACCACCAAGGTGGGTGTCAGCGGGGGCCCCCTGATTGCCCCACCCGCCGGTCAACCCACATATCGGCCCTGATCACCGGCCTGACCTAGGGACCCTACCTGTACACCAATTTTGTGCACTGGGTTTCTAGCTCCCCAATAAACCTCTTGTACTTTTGTCTCAACATCTACTTCCTAAGGATACATCTTTTGGTATTGGGATGCATTTTTACTAAACTATGTATTTTCTGAAGACAAAGCCTTCAAGGGACTTTATTTGTAGGTGTCAGTTCCAACTCCTTACCCCACAGCAGGTAGGTACAGCATCTCCTCGAATGCTTACAGTGGGTGTTTAGTTTTGTCATTTCTGGCACACTTGGATTTTCATGTATTACTTTCTATTTTATATTTATATTTAATATTATGTTATATCCCATTTGGAATTTCTAGATGTTTATATCAGGAGTGTGTTCAGGATATACAATCCATGATATGCACTTTTTTTGTAGAAAAGCAAGAATTTATTGACCACAGCAAAAACATACTAGGGCAGTGAAACATGGAAGGGCATAGAAGAAGTAACAGGAGAGCCTACGCTGGGCTGCCTTAGCTCACTGGGAAGTCAGAGAAAAGGGGGAAAAGGGGGACTTGGAGACAGGTTCAGAGGATTAGCCTGGGATGAGCTGCTGCTGCCCATTGCTCCCCTGGTTGCAAGTCTCATAAGGTCCCTTAGAGCAGCGGTCGCCAACCAGTGGTCTGTGAGGTCTGAAAGGTTGGTGACTGCTGCCTTAGAGGTTAGGGGACACGTGCCAAGGGGAGGGAGGATAGGGGGAAGGGAATGGCATGGGTGTGCTCCCTGGTGGGAGAACACCCATTTTTTACTTTTGACCAATTTTTTTTAAAGACAGAAATTGCATATATTTATTGTCTAAATTATGCTTTTAATATTTTTAAGGAATCATGTATACATTGTACAATACTCAGGGTTTAAAGGAGTTTGACAATTATACCAAATCAGGAACTTCTTTTTATAGCTGCCAGGGAATAAAGCCTTCCTGTGTCTGTGAGTCTGTTGTCTCATTTTATACATACACCTTTATACACATTTCCAGGAAGATGTTATATACAAAGTCAGGGAAAGTCTAACAAGCTAACAGGAGTCTGAGCAAGGGTCCATAGAGAAACGTGGGAGGCATCAGTTCTACCTGCAGAGAATGGGCACAGCTGGGGGACACTAAGCCAAGACCTGAGGGTAAGAAAGATACCAGATGGCTGGGGGTGAGGGGAAGGGCGACACTGTATGCAGCAGGAACAACACTAAACAGTGTAGACACATGGAACAACATGGCGCTCAGAGAAGGGCAGGCAATTCAGTTCACCTAGAGGGTGAGATGAAAGAGTTGTCCTGCCTATGCTAAAATGCAAGCGCCTTTGCAAATTGAAAGGGGTAAGGAGACAGATTCTCCTCAGGACTCTCAGAGGGAGCAGCCCAGCTGACATCTTGGTTTTAACTCCATGAGATTCATTTTGGCCTCTGACCTCCAGAACTGTCGGGTAGATCTGTGTTGGCTTTAGCCACAAAGTCTGTTAATTTGTCACAGCAGCAACATAAGATTAACATAGGAAGGAATCACTGTGCTATGGCCTAAACAGAATGCTTCAGAGCAATGGGTTCAGAGCGAGAGTTCCAGGAGTGTGGAAACAGTGTTGGGTCCCTGCCACTGGTGGTCTCCCTAACTACTGATTGGGAACCCCCTTTTGGATGTCTGAAACTCAACTCAGCACCCTCCCTCATCTAAACCCTCTCCTCCCGTATTGTCTTGAAGAGTGCAGCCGAGCCAGATGCTTCCAAGTCATCCATCCAGTGAACCACTAAATGGTTGGGGGTTCTGCATGAAAAGTTTCCTGCATGCAGAGAACATGGGCAAGAGGGAGAGAAGGCATGAGAACTTGGAAGGGGGCTGGTGGTAGAGATGAAACATGAGATAACAACTGTTACCTCTGGTTGGTGGGAATATGGATGTCAGCCTGGGTCTAATGCCACGGGGCAGACTTGACTCCAAGACACAACTACAGGCATTGCCCATCCTTTCCTCGCCTTGGCTGAGCCAGAAGATGCAAAGAGAAAACATCCGGCATCAGCTTTGCTTTGATGTTCTGCAGTTTTTCTCCTGACCTTCCTGTCCTCATACGCGTCATATCAAATTACCTAGGACTAAATTACATAAACCCCTCCAAACGTCTCCAGAATCTTCCATTCATAGCTCTTAGGCACTGTCACTTCCCTGGGTCCAAGGTGACCAAGTGCCTGGGGAGCTGACCACACAGCCTTGGGGGGCCATGTTTAGAGGCATCAGCACCAGAGACGCAGGTCTAAGAATGAAACCCACCAAACCACCTCAGTGCTGGTTAGGTTTTATTTTAACAGGGCATTTCCTCTTCATGTGTTTTTCAAAATATCAGTTATATCAATTAGAGGTGTAAACAGGTACAAAATATACAGTACAGAGAAACAATTTTCTTAACTAGTCTATTGCCTAACAAAAGTACACATGGGGGAGCCGAGTGAATAGCAGCCCTGGTCTCTCCTCTGTGGGGGGATAAGGGATCCAGAGGCGGCTTCAAAAAAACAGGAATGATTACTTGGGGACAGCACTGTGGTAGAATTAAGAAACCTGGGCCGATGTCCAATTCCACCGTTAGGGTGTCAGCAGAGGAGCATCATCCATACCCAGCCTCTCAGACCTTGCTGGGTGTGCACACACCGTGGGGGCCCGAGGCTCAGCTAAAGCCTGAGGCTTGATGATTTTGCTCATGCACATGTGGGACAAATCTTCTGAGAGGGCAAAAACAGTTTTCCTTCCCCAATTGAACTTCTGGAAGATAAGCCATGTCTAACATGAGGCTTTTCCCAACTGCTGCCCCCCACTGGCCCCCATGGTGCAAGCCTTAGTGGGATATATCCCCTTTGAGTTAATTTATTTCTCATCTCTAAAAAGACTTGCCTTGCGTGTTTCACAAAGTCACAGTAACAAATGAGATATGATGTGAAAGAATTTTGACAATGAAAAAACACTACACAAAGGACACAGAAGCATTTTGCTAGAGTGGAAAAGCAGCTCCAGGTGGGTTGTCAGCCCAGGAGTCTGATAGGGATGGCCAGTGGCCTCTAACAGGGAAACACACAGTAGGGCCAGTACTGTTGGGGGGCCTTAACAGGTGGAGAGGCAAGCTGGCTGCTCTGGGGATGAGTCCTTCTCCCTGCTGAGATGAGGCTGCAGTTCCACAGCACCCAGCTGGTCTCAGGTCCCAGGAGGCTTGGAGCCCAGCCCAGGCCTGGGCAGAGCAGGGTCTCAATTCCCCAGGACCTTTTGCTAAGACCATCTCTTCCCTAGGAGTCACTGGGGCCAGGGGAGGTCTGGTCCGTGTCCCTCCTCACTGTGTCCCCAGCCCCGCTGACCTTCACGTCAGACTTGGTAAGGACATAGCCCACATAAACACGCTCCGGAAACCAAAAATATGCTAGAAAGTTTAAACTGGTACTACGACTATTTTTCAGCTTCTTCAAGAATTACAAAAGAGTTTTGTAATTAAGTTACTTAAAATTCTATGGTGCTGTTTCACAGAGAGTTCTACTTTGTTCAGAGGTGGAAGCTGTATTTGTTTGACAGTTTCTCTTCTTCCAGTGATCAGTTCAGCAACTTGGGGGTTTGGTCTCCCAGTCTCCACTCCTGCCTCTGCGCTGGCCGCCACCCCGAGGACATCTGGAAACGGGACTTTTTACACTCATGGCCCTCAAGGGTCAGAAGGCTGAGACAACTCTGGCCATCCTGGGGTGCCTCACAGGTCCCCGCCCTCGGTGGGTCCCAGGACACTCAGGCCACAAGTCCAGTCAGTCACAAGGTCTGTGGAGGCTAAGGGTCCTTTGGAGGCAGGGCTCTTGAAGGGGTCCGGGGGAGCGGCTGGGAGGGGAGGCAGCGGCTGGCCCCGGGCCGGGCCCTTGGCCCCCGTCGTGTGGTTGCGCTGGTGCTTACGGAGGTGGTCCTTGCGGATGAAGCTCTTGCCGCAGACGGTGCAGGTGAAGGGCCGCACACCCGTGTGGGTTCGGTAGTGGTCGATGAGCTTGGAGCGCTCAGTGAAGCGCTTCTCGCACTCCGTGCAGGGGAAGGGCCGCTCACCCGTGTGCAGCATGCGGTGCCGGATCAGGTGGGCTGGCCGCGTGAAGCAGCGCCCGCACTCCCCGCACCGCAGGGCGCTTCCATCGCGTGCAGCCCCTGCCGCCCCGGCCGCCCCATCGGGCAGCTGCCCGCAGCTGCGCTGGTGGGCGCTCAGGCTCACCTGCAGCTGGAAGCTCTTCCCACACGTGGCGCAGGTGAAGGGCCGTCCCCCGGGAGACGCGGCAGGGTGCTTCTTCAGGCCAGGCTTGTGGCCAAAGCCTTTGGTCCGGCCAGGGTATTTACAGGGGTCACTGAAGGATCTCGGGGCCTGGCCTGGGTCCAGCACAGCCTCCCCGTTGTCAGGGGAGGAGTAGGGCAGCCCCTCAGGCCCAGTCCTCGGGTTCAGACCCACAGGAGGTTTACACCTGAAATTCCAGCCCCACCGGACTCCCCCAAGGAGCCAGTCCCCTGGTGGGGTCTCGTCCTGGGCCACCGCGGGGCTGGGGTCTCCCAGGTCCCGTTCAGGCCGGGCGGGCTCTCTGAGCCCGAGCACAGGGTCCTGGCTGGGGAAGGAGCTGCCCTGGCTCTCCCAGGCGCCTTCCTGGACAGGACTAGGGAAAAACCTTGTGGCTTGGCCTGGTCCAAATAGGGTCCCGTGGGCCTCTAGGTCAGTAGGGTGCACTGGTGTGGCCACCACCTCCTCTTCCTGGACTTCAGTTTTTATCACAATTTTTACATCTGCTGAGAAAGACAGAAAGACCAGATATCATTCTGTCCCCTCCTGGGCTTAGAGCAATCATCTGATACTTTCATCTGGAGATTCAGTAGCTCCTCCGCTCCTACCAGCACACGGAGCCCTGGTTTCCAAGCCACAGGATCCAGCTCAGCAGAGCGCCCCCAGATGGTCATGAGGCTGCTTCACACCCCAGGTGAGGACATCCCTGTACTAGTACCTTCACTGCAAGTAAAACCACCATCGCACCTGCTTACGGGTTTCCATTTCTACTTTGGCTGTTAAGGCAAATCAAGAATTTATCTTGCCCTAACCGGTTTGGCTCAGTGGATAGAGCATCGGCCTGTGGACTCAAGGGTCCCAGGTTCGATTCCGGTCAAGGGCATGTACCTGGGTTGCGGGCACATCCCCAGTGGGGAGTGTGCAGGAGGCAGCTGATCGATGTTTCTCTCTCATCGATGTTTCTAACTCTCTATCCCTCTCCCTTCCTCTCTGTAAAAAATCAATAAAATATATTTAAAAAAAAAAAAAAAGAATTTATCTTGAGGAAGGAACTCTGACCGCCGGTGGCAATGTACTGGAGGGGAAAAGGCACTGGGTTGGGGATCATGTGAGGTGGCTCTGCGGCTTCCCACAGACCAGCTGTGGGCTGCAGGATGATTTTTAAAAATCTTCACCTAAGGATATGTTTGTATTGATTTACAGAGAGAGAGAAACATCAAGGTGAGAAAGAAACATTGACCCGTTGCCCTCCGTACCTGCCCCGACTAAGGATCGAACCCACAACCTAGGTATGTACCCTTATTGGAAATTGAACCCACAACCTTTTTTAAAAATATTGGTGGTGTATCAGATGATGCTCCAACCAACTGCGCCACCTGGCCAGGGCTGCAGGGTAATTTCTTAACCAACAGCACATCTGTGAACCCTGGTCATAGGGCTGTATGAGGGTTACCAGATAACATGTCTGAAGACACCTTGCATACGATTTGGCATGCAGCAAGCATCCAATAAATGTGGCCAGCTAGCTAATAATAAAAATATTAGTAAAGAGTAAAAATGTGATTATGTAAATGTATTTGAATTTCATTTCCTGAAATTTTGTATCAGGGATCTAGGCTTTTAGCACATTTTTGGAGTGCTAAAATATAAAGTAACAGATAACAGGCCTACAAAATAGAAATAAATACAAAAATAATACATAAATTTGGAAGTTTTTTCCCCAATTCTGGCCTTTGGACACTTGTCTTTGGTAGTGCTGATATCTAAGAAGTGCTTCTGGCTTGGTTTGTTTTTTCTTTGCCAGAGAGGAAGAGGAGGCAGGTTCTGAGCCTGGGCAAGAGGTGCATTCTCTCAAGGGACTAGCTTATGAGCACTGACTGGTTAACATGAGAAAAGAACGGCTGGAAATATGGACATGCTCAAGGAAGGCTGTCCAAGCCTAAGAATCTGGACAGAGATGAAAGACAGACCACTGAGTCCTAACATCCCAGATACCTAATACCTGCTGGCTGACAGGGCAGGGCAGCTCATCAATGAGGAGGCAGCCGGGGCCTAGGCAGCCTGCAGGGCAGCTGTGAGTCTTTCCCACCCTCTCTCTGCCACCTGTACCTTCTGTGGAGGCCGCCGTGTTGAGCTTCAGGGTCCCGTCTGAACATGCGGAGGAGGGGTGGTGGGGAGGGAGATCTGCCTGCCAGGAAGTAGGTGGGATAGTGGTTGAGAAGTTGGAGTGGACGCCTGCAATGAAGAGATCAGAGCCTGTGGGTTAGAGAACAGAAGCAGCAGGGAAAAACCCCACAGGATAGAAAGAAGAGACGCTGAGACCCACCCCGGGCATGCTGCATGAGCAGAACCCCCCACTGCTCCTGAACCAGGTTTCCTTTGCTCCCCTCTTGCTCCCAGGAGGCTCAGGGGTCACTGACTTATTTCATATCGCCCCTCCTTAATATCAGGCAACGGTGCCTTAAATGCCCAATGCTGGGGGCAAGAAAAGTGCAGCTGATGGAATGAGGCAGAGAAATACCAGGGCAAGAGCTTCACCAAACCCAGAGGTGCCCAAGGTGTCCTTTAGTGCAGGTCCTGTCTTAAAGTGAAGAAACTTCTAAGCTAGTCAGGCCAGATGTTTGAAAGCCCATAGTTCCCATAATGTGGCTCCCAGGAACTCCTTACCCCAAGGCCTACCCTGGGCTCTGCCTCTCGTTCCTGGTATCTGCTCCCAGTTTGAGCCACTCACCAGAAGCAGCATCTGTAGAGACATCTCCTGCTCCGGAATCCAGCTGGCTGAGGCCCCATGGCTCCTCCCCGATATCTGGCTGTCCAGCTGCCCACGCTTCTACCCCCAGAGCCTGCTGCTCCTGGAGCTGGAGCTCGCCCTCCTGCTTGATCTGCATTAAGAGGTCAGGGGCAGGAACTGGGGCTCCCGAGCCTAAGAAAGGGAGAGCGTGTAAGCACAGCCTCAGGGCTCCCTGGCCCTGAGGTGGACACACAGCCAGGCAAGGAAATGGACCTCTCAAGGGTCACTTCCACTCCTAGGTCTATACCTAGAGAAACTTTTACACATCCATAAGAATTTTCACAACAGCATTTTTCTTAAAAGCAAAAGAGTTAGAAACAATACAAACACCCATCAACAGCAGAAGGAATAAATGCACTGAGTTACATCCACAAAATAGAAAGGGATAATGTGGTAAAAGTTGTGACAGTGAATGAACTACAGCTGTACCACATAAACACGGATGACTCTCAAAAACATGTCAAAGGAGAAAAGCAAGTTAAAGAAGAATATATATGACCATATTCCTATATAGTTCAAAATCAGGCAAAATTAAATGTTATTCAGAAATATATATATAAGAAATAAAAATGTAAAGAAAAGCAAGAGACCTATCATGTTTGTTCTGAATTGTGTGTGTGTGTGTGTGTGTGTGTGTGTGTGTGTCTGTAAGAGGAAGGGAGGGGCCTGGAACCAGAGAGGGACAATGGGTTCTTGGAAGGGTTTGGTGGTGATCTATTTCTTATGCAGGGTATTATGGGGTTTTACTGTCTTGCTCTAATCTTTATCTGAATTTGTTCAGTATGTGATTTTGTTTGTTATATAAAATACACAGTGAATATATTTTAAAAAAAACAGCTGATCCAATATAACCTAAGAGATTCTAAATAGACAGGTCATTATATCTAAAAAGAGAGTTGAGCAAAATCTCTCCTTTATTAAACACAGAGCATGGCTGTTCACCTGTAATAACTACTTAAAACATATTATTGACTTAAAAATCCCATTCAGAACATAGCTTGATCAGTGTGACTCAGCTGTTTGGAGCATTGTCCTGTGCACTGACAGGTTGTGAATTCAATTCCCAATCAGGGCACATTCCTGGGTTGCAGGTTCAGTCCCTGGTTGGGGCACGTACAAGAGGCAACTGATCCATGTTTCTCTCTCTCCCTTCCTTCCTCCCTCTCTAAAATCAATAGAACATATCCTTGGGTGAGGATTAAAAAATAAAAATCCCCTGCCCTGACCGGTTTGGCTCAGTGGATAGACTAGAGCATCGGCCTGCGGACGCAAGGGCCCCAGGTTCGATTCCGGTCAAGGGCATGTACCTTGGTTGTGGGCACATCCCCAGTAGGGGGTGTGCAGGAGGCAGCTGATCAATGTTTCTAACTCTCTATCCCTCTCCCTTCCTCTCTGCAAAAAATCAATAAAATAAATTAAAAAAAATAAAAATCCCATTCAGAATACAAATAATAACTCTCAGAAGAAAACTGTAAAAACTTGTTCAAGCACATAGAAGCCTTCAGGAGATAAGTCTTTCTATGGATAGAGAGACTCAGCATTGGAATGAGGGTAATTCTCCAGAAACAAAATTATAAAGTGCAATTCCTATTCAAATTTCAATAGGATTTTCTGAGAACTTGCCATAAAGCTTCTGAAACTCATATAGAACAAAGGTCCAAGAATAGCCATGAAAAGGAGTAGGAAAGGCTTGGTCTCCTAGAATCTGGCTTCCTAGGAAGCTCCAACAGTCCGTGTGGGTGCAGAGATGGCAGAGACCAAGAAACATCAGACAGAGCCCAGAAACTGCATCTGCCCACATGGAAACCTGGCTCCCCATGGAACTGGTATCACAAATCATCACAGAAAAGACAATGTTCAGCAAACTTTGTGGGAAAATCAGACGTCCTTGTGGGGGAAATTTTTAAAATGTTCCCTTGCAATCTACACAAATATTAATTCTAGATGGATTAAAGACTTAAATGTGAAAAAACAAAACTTTAAAAGTTTAATAAGAAATAATGAAGGCTTTCTGAGTTGGGGAGAGGCAGGGAAGGGTATCTTTTAAAAAATATATCTTTTTACTGATTTCAGAGAGGAAGGGAGAGGGGGAGAGTGATAGAAACATCAATGATGAGAGAATCATTGATAGGCTACCTCCGGCACACCCCACACTGGGGATCGAGCCCACAACCTGGGCGTGTGCCTTTGACTGAAATTAAACCCAGAACGCTCTATCCACTGAGCCAAACTGGCTAGGGCAGGGAAGGGTCTCTTAAAACAGAAAAGCAGGGATCATAAAGGAAAAGACTGATAGGCTGACTCTACCCCAAATGAAAACTTCTACGTGCGAACTATACAGTGAAAAGACCTGCCACAGACTGGGAGAAGGTATCTGCAAGGCAAAGAAAGGGTTCATGTGGAGAACCTACAGAAAGAAGTTCTGCCGAAACCGGTTTGGCTCAGTGGATAGAGCGTCGGCCTGCGGACTGAAGGGTCCCAGGTTCGATTCCGGTCAAGGGCATGTACCTGGGTTGCGGGCACGTCCCCAGTGGGAGATGTGCAGGAGGCGGCTGATCGATGTTTCTCTCTCATCGATGTTTCTAACTATCTCTCTCCCTTCCTCTCTGTAAAAAATCAATAAAATATAAATATATATATATATATATATATATATATATATATATATATATATATAAAGAAGTTCTGAATCAGTAAGAAAAAGAAAACAACAGTAGAAAAACAGAAAGAGACATTTCCCTGGAGAAGAAACCAAATAAACCTATGAAAAGGATGCTCAACTTCAAATGCAAATTAAAACAAGGTATGATTTCAACCGCATCCAATTGACAAAAATCTAACTCTGAAAAGTGGGCACAGATTTAAGAAAACAGGTCCTTCCTAAGTGCTGGGCAGTAGTGCAAGCTCGTGTGCCCGCGGGAGACCAGGAGCCCAGCAGAGGTGCAGACCAGCACGCCCTGTGATGCAGGGTTCCACCCCTCGGTCTATTCCCTATGGAGACATCAGCTTGTGGACATAAAGAGGCATGTTCTAGATCTAGAATGTTCACTGCAACACCGCATATAAGAGAGAAATCAGAGAGAGCTCAATGGAGGGACAGAGGATAAACTGTAATACAGTTGCTTTTGGAATATGAAGGTTCTGTGAAAATGCTGAACATCTATATGCATCAAGAGGGATAAATCTGAAATACAGAATATTGAGTGATAAATATATGATATTTACGTAATTTTTCAAAACACAGAAAAACATATATTATAGATTATTTATGCCTACATATGTACATAATAGACGTTTTAAAATGTGGGTGGAAAAGATATGATATTTACCCGGGGACAAATAAGACTGAGATCTAAAAAGGAATTTAAATTGTATCAGAAATGTTTTTTTACACACACACTTTAAATTATGAAACATAGCATACAGTCAACATGTATTTACTGAATTCCTACTCTGTGCCAGGCAGTATTCTAGATGCCCAGATGATTATATGAGCAAAACAGATCAAAGTTCTTATCTTCTTGAAGTTTATATTCTAATGGGGGGGGGGGGGGAGAGACACTACATAAATCCATAAATAAATATGAAATACACTTAATAATCTATAGATATAAAATGTAACAATAGATGATGGTATCTGTCATGAAACAAAGCAGGAGGGAGGCTGGAACTCCCAGGTGGGGAGTGGGCTGCACCTTTAAGTAGGGTGATTAGGGAAAGTCACATTTAAGCAGAGACCAGGAGGAGGGAATGAATTGAGCAGGAAAACATATGAAGAGCCGTCCCGGCAGAGGACACAGCAGGTGCAAAGTCTCGGAGATCGGTACCTAGAGCGCTGGGGGAACAGCAAGAAAGACGGTTAGGTCAGAAAGAGCAACAGGACGCAGCAAAGGAAAAGTGGTGAGTGAGTTGGGGGGAATCACCAGGGGGGGCAGGATGTCCTGTCAGGCAAAGTGCATCTAGGAAGTGAGGGATCAATAATGGCAAATGTCACCAACAGGGCAGGTAGGGTGATGGACTGTTAGCACCATGGAGGTCCCAGTGGCCTTGACAGGAGTAGGCGAAGGGGCTGGATAGTGGGAAGACAGGGTGGAGGCAGCAGGGAGTGTGGGGCAGAGGCTTCAGGGAATGAGCAGGGGTACATGCTGGCGGGGATGAGGGACACAGGTAAGAAGTGCTGAGCCACAGTCCTTGAGAAGGTGGCCTGGATGGGAATGAGTGCCCAGTGGAGGAGGGTCTCTGACCACAGGGTTATCGGTCTGTCATAAGTCACAGGAGCCAAGAGAGAACTGGGCACAGATGCTGGCAGATGGGATAGTGAGGACTGTAAGTGTGTTTTGCTTTGTTTTTCAATTAAATAATGTATTTTCATATAAAAACTATTCTAAACAGAAGGTGGCGATTTGGCTTGTGGGTCACAGCTGGTCAACCTCTGGACTACTGAATGAATGGACTGAGGAGACACACCGACTGCGCTCTGAATCCCAGGTGAGAAATGGCGAGCAAAATGGGGCTTTCTCCAGCCACATGCAGCTGCTGGAGAGCTG